GCACTGACTTTAAAAAAATCATTAGTCCTGCCGAATCACTAATAAATCTAATGATGGAGAAGAGGAAGCGTGCGATAAAATGATGCAATAGTACAAATAAGAAATGTGACTTTATATTGTAATTTTCCAGGAGCTTCCAAAGAGACCTAAGGAGGTAAGGAGAAGGAGAGAGGATACTGGTTACTCTGATGCGGTAGATGAGTGAGCACCTGCTGTGTGCAGGCCAGTGGCTGGTGCTCATGGCATCTCAGCAGTGGTCCTTTCTGTGCGATTTCCCCCTTTTGCAGAGCAGCCAAGGGAAGCTCACAGAGGTTGCCTAGGGTCATCAGCTGTCTCCATAGGTGGCTCAGCCTCTTGAAGCTATTACATCCCTGAGGGCCCTTCTAACTCCACAATTCAGTATAAAAGTATGCCCAAGATCATGTATTTTCTCTCTTTTTTGTCATTTCCTTTAGTTCCCCACACTCAGTCCTCAGCCCCCTCTGTTGCTACGACATCTGCATTGATGATGCAGCCTTCATGATGTCATCCATGCACCAGCCTGTCACTGTGGCATCTTCCCTGTTGCCCCTGCTCCAATGACAAAGTCTGTACATTTGGTGCCCCTTGGTGACCACAGCCTCCTTTCATTTCCTCACTGGCCAGCTCATCTCTTCTCTCTCACCTTTTCCTTGAAGCTGCCCACCATGCCCACACCCTCCCCATCATGCGCACACCACCCAGATCTCAGGATCACACTGAAACCCTCAGCACTCACCCCAGTGGATCTGGGTCATTGCTTCCTTAGCTGACACCTGAACACCCTTGCCCTGCCCTGTGGAGACATCCTATTTTGTCCCAGTTGTGTAGAACGTCTGGTCATAGAGTACACCTGGCCCACTCCAAATTGTGTCCTGTCTAAGAACTTGGGCCTTGCTCTGCAACTTGGCCCATGCCGGGCCCCACGATGTACACTGGCCCTTCTGGTGGCATCCTGTGCCTTCAAGCACTGGTCCATAGTGCTCCCTCCACACAAGGTAAAACTCCAGCAAGATCCGGCATTTGTAAGGATGCCGCTCTCTTAACTACATCTCAGTGTGGCCTTATTTCTACTTTTCCCAAGACTTCCTCCACCATTTCTAAAAAGTATTGTGTTCTCTCTTTTCTTTATTATTTATATTATTTAAAGAAAATCTGACATCAAATTTTATTTAAAAATATGGCGTGTGGGTTTTTTAGTCAAATTTGTATGCACATAACTGTAAAAAGTGTACAACTCAGAAGTGTGCAGCCTGGTGAATTTCACAAAGCAAGCACACCCGTGTAAGAGCCATTCAAGAACCCCAAAACCACCCTCATATTCCCTTCCTGTCGCTGTCCCTGTTCCAGGGATAACCACTATCCTACCTTTTACCACCACAGATTAGTTATGACTGTTTGGACTTATTATAAAGGAAATCTGAGAGTGAATATTTGTATGTTTTTAAAAACATGTAAATTCATCACCAATATTGACAGATTCAGAGATTTCACATCAAGCAGCTTTTCTGCTTCTTTTATTAAGGCAGCAACTGGCTGGACCTGAAGAGCAGCAGCAGTGACTGGGAATGGGGCGCGTTCTCTTCTGTTTGCTAGAGTCCCCACTGATCCTTATTGTCTCACACGCAGCGAGCTTCACTTCCTTGTTCCTTGGCTACTACCAGGAGGTCTGGGTCAATGCCAGACAGTGTGGGAGTTACAGACTGGTCCCCCCGCCCCCTTTTTTTAGGCATGCACTATTTCAGGATTGAATTTCCATTTATCATGGACTTTTTTGTTAGATTTTGGAATGAAGTTTTTTGTTTGTTTGTTTTTTCCTATTTGACTAAGTTTTTACTTTACAACTCTGTAGCGATCCTGGGAGAGGCTGCATAGAGGTCGGCTAGTTGGATGCCAGTTAAAATTAGAATCACCATCTTAAAATCATTTTCAGTGACATGCTTCTCCTGTTTTTAATTTTATGTTTGTTTGTGCTTTTTAACTGGCTCTTCTCCCATGTGGCCCCCAAATGGGGTCGGCCTTTGGCTATGGATGCTTTGTGACCTTGGGCAAGTCCCTCTATCTCTTTGGTGTCAACATCCTCAAGTGTACAGTGGGGATGGCCCACCAGTGCTTCCTGAACCGGCACTCCGCAAACCCTGGCACAGGACTACCTTTCCCCACTCACTGTGGACAATACGCTGTCCTACTGCGGGTGACTCCACGCACCCTGTGCCCTTTACCTCCTGCCACAAACGTGCGGCACCACACTCCTCTGTGCTCTCCAGGGAGCTCATTGATAAGAGCCTGGATGTGGAATGCTGTTGATCACTTATGGTGGCTTTAAACACTTCCTCTGCCTCTTGAAGCCACTGCGGGCAGACCACACTTTGAGAAGCACTATCTCAAGTTTCTTCAGGGAACAAAATGTCCTAAAAAGTGTATGTGATTTGTAAAAAATATATCTAAATCGTTCCATGTTAGCATAGTAAAGGCCGTGAGAAGCACTATATCTCAAAAACAAAACACACAAAATCCTGATTAATTTTGACAAAGTTTCCTTGAGTACCATCCCTTGTCATTCAGTACCTGCCGGTAACCGGAGGAGGCTGCTGGGCCAGCGGCCACGTGGGGCGGTTAGCAGAGCAGGTCTCCAGGGTTTCCTGCCCTGTGCCCTCTCTGTCCAGCCTGGGAACAGGATTAGACTCCATAGTCTCCCCGCTGAGACATCATCTCACACCCATGTGACCGCACCCCCGCACCCGCACCCGGGGGGATTGTGCGAAAGGAGTAAAGGGAGGAAATGGGGGTTGCAGTAGATCAGGGGCCCTGGGCAGGGGGTGCAAGGCCGGGCCTGCCGTGGGTCTCAGGCGGCTCCCACCTGCTGCCCTGCCCGGGCCGGCTAATTGCGGTTCTGCTTTCCTCCAAGGAGCCGAGCTGGTGCCCTTTCTCTAAGGTAAGGGCTCCTCTCTGAGCTGTTTACAGAGCAGGCCGTCTGCTGTGTTAGAAGAGGCGAAGCTTTGATCCCCGCCTGCGGGGCACAGCCTGTGGTCTGTGTGCGTTTTATGGCAGCACCAGCGGGACTGCTCACGGGCCTGATGCAGAGGCCCCGCACACAGGGCCTGAGCCTGGAGCTGTGCACCCAGACAGTCGCCTTATTTTTTCAACGTGCACTTTCCCTTTTTGTGTCTGGGGCCAAGGGCAGCTCTGAAAGTGCTCCTTAGTCACACCGGAAGCGAAGGCAACTTTCCGATTAGGTGTCACTGGGAAAGGCGAGTGGAACCTTTTACAGAGAGATAGGGATTCATTTACCTGTTTGCACAAAACTTAAGTTACAGCAGCGTCTGGGTTTCCCTCCCAAGCACTCTGCACTTGCCACAACGATCTTGTTATCTCCTGATACACTTTCCAGGACTCCTCGTATCTGGCAAAATTCTAACATGTGTTCCGGTGGCCCCTCTCCTGGGCCCCGGCCCGCTCACGGCCAGGTGCTGGCCAGGGTGTGTCACACAGTGCGGAGAGGAACAGTTTCACACCACAGCAGGGTCTTCGGTTGCCTGGACCTGACTAGCTTTTCTTTCTTATCACACTTCCCTTCCTATAAAGTTACGGCTCTTTTAACGGGACATTTAATACCCACCCTCTCTTTCTCTGGCCCTTGTGAAAATCAGGCAATAATGTGCAGCCTTGTTGCCAAGTCATGGCCAGAGCATCCGGTGGCGCTACCCACGGAATAACGCAGCGTCTGCCATTCATTCATTCGCGATGTGATTTCATCTCCCAGGGTTGGAACACCTAGAATGGGTCAAAGGGTGTGAAAGTACTTGGGAAATAGGATGTTAAGCAGTTGTTAGACGCCTTGAGGAGATCACTTTCTTGGTTAAGAGGCCGTGGTGAGAAATAATATAGAACAAAGTGAGAAATGCTGTGGGAGCCAAGAGGAGGGAACTCAAAGGAGACGCAACCATTGAGCTGGGCTTTGAAGTATGGGTAGGAGTTTGTCAGCCAATTGTCCCAGAAAGCAAATAAGGGTGTTCAGGGCAGCACTGTGGGAAAGGCCTAGAGAGAGGCATAGCAGAGACCTGGCGGTTGGAGGAGGAGAGGAAGGAAGTGTTGGGGACTAAGAGAAAATGGGCCCGGAGGCTGGCTCAGAGGTGCAGTGTTCTGTGGAGGGCAGGGCCTTCATCTCCCCGGCGAAGGGGTTTTTTTGGCCCAACGCTGACTCCTGTACCAAAGAAATTCAGAGACTTTACACGAATTATGCATTGAAATTATTTTCATGTATTGTTGAGAAAAGTGAAATAATTTGGTGTTCAAGGTAGAGAAGGCAAGAAAACATGCAGGTGGTTTCTGAGGGTAAGACACAGCCCTGCTGGGTGCTTTGTGCACGGCTCTCAGTTCTAGAGCCAGCATTTGTCCAGACGGTGCTCTTGAGAAGGGACGGACATGCTTCCTCTCTCATCACAGCACCCACTCGGCCCTTTCCTGTTGCCTCTTTGGTAACTTGGATGGCACCCCAAACACAGACTGTCCCTCTCAGGGTTGAAGTTTTGGGTGAGAGAGAGCCATTCTTCTCCAACTGCCAACTAGGCTCCAAACGCCAGCTTCCCAGCCCAAAGCCAGGAGGAAACAGCTGCTGAAGCCTGTGGGCCTCCTGACCCCCATCCCCGCTGGGGCAGGAACCCTACCATTCCTGGGAAGGGCTTCTGAGCAAGCCCAGTAAACAAGGTGGAGAGGGGACCCCATGGGCCACCATTCTCTGGCCAGGGGACAGGCCTCCCCCTCCTGTCTCAGAACCCTGCGAGTAGAGAGAAGCCATGTTTGTGGTGGTCCCAGCCTTCCCAAAGTGAGCCTGTTTCTCGCCACCGTTCACTGTGGAGGAACTCGGGTAAGTTGGGGAGCATTCCATGTGAGCGTGTAACAGCGACTGCGCTCCCTAAGGAAGTGTGGCTGAGCCCTGCATCCCCTGGTCCAGAGCCACTTCTTTTTAGAAGAGGGAGACCAGAGACCAAGGGTGTTGGGCTCTGGAGGGAACAGCCAGGGGCTCCTGGTTGGGGGGCAGCCCCTGCGCGGGGCAGACCCTGAGCATGGCCGCCTCCTCCCCATCGGTCTCCTCTGGTGGGATGTCCAGTCAGGCACAGGGGTTTTCAGGGTTGTGTTTTCTTTCAGTCCCAGCTGGAAGGAGAAGTAGAGACAGGCTCGTGGCTCTTGTGTTCTGTCAAAGGAGCATTCGCTGAGGGCACACATGCCAGCTCCCCCAGACTTAAGCTTTCATTCATTCAGAGGACTTTCATCAGAGCCACCTCATCTTACCTGAATGGTGTCTTTTGGGGATGTCAATTTGGGGGATGGGATGCACAAAGGCGTGTCACTTATTGGTGGTTTGCTCAGCCCCCAGGTGGGGCAAATAGGTCACAGGTCCCAGAAGCTCAAGGTGGGGACCCAGCATTAGCGGACAGCTATGTTCTGGGCTGCAGGGAAAGGCACTTCCCAAGTGAGCACACCAGTCAAATTCAGAGTTGGGTTTAGGTCCTAAAGGTCGGCCCCACTCATGTTTAACACGTGAGCTCCATAAAGAATTTTCCAGCTGCTGGTTGCTTGTCAGTTATATTTGAATTTGGATTTGGTGCGTTTTGCTTCCATTGTGAGATTATTTGGCTTCTCTCTACTCAGTGGAGTGTGTTGAGAAGACAATCTGGAGTGGACCGGCATTGGGGACCTTGGGGATTAGATTGTCCATTGGGATTCAGCAACAGGGACAGAGCACTGGGGAGGCATCCAGTCGATTTTGTGTAGCTCTTAGTGTCCCTGTATTTGTATGTCCACTGGTATCAGTGTTATTTCTTATGGTTGCACATTGATTTTATTAAGCATCTGTTCTATGCCAGGCTCTGCAGATGCAAAGCTTTATTCATTTCATGGATTTTATTGCCTGTTTTATTAGCACTGACCCTGCCCTCATGCTTCTGACATTCTATTGGGGAGATGGACAGGAAACAAATAAACAAGTAAACTAATAAAAATAGAAGGTCTCACCCAGTGATGGAGCCATGACAAGAAATAAAACAGAGGGAGGGAATAGAGTTATGGGGAAGAGGGTGGCAGGAGAAAAGGACTGTTAGCAGGAGGTCTTGTCAGAGAGGATGTTGAGCGGAAGCCTGAGCAGGAGGATATTTATGGGCCTGTGAGATGACACTGACCAGAATGAAGACGTCAGAGGAAGAAGGAGGGTCAGGGAGGCAGCTCCCTGTGTTCTTGGAGTGAAGGGGTACCAGTGGGGGCTCTGCCTTGTGGAGACTGACTCTGGAGAGTGAGAGTGAAGGCAGGTAGAGACAGCTAAGTACAGTAGGGCATGGCACACATAGCAGCAGAGGGAGTTCAAGGCCAAGTACAGTAGGGCATGGCACACACAAAAACAGGGAGTTCCAGGCATAGAAATACTGCGGGAGGAGTGATTTAATGTCTAGGTGGGGAAGGGTCTCCCTGGGAAGGCTTCCGAGAGGAGGTGACAACCCAAGCAAGGTTCTGACAGATGAATAGGAGTTCATGTGAAGATCAAGTGGGGCAGGGGTCTTCTTGGCAGAGGGAATCCGGGGAAAGGGCAGGGAGGTTGACATGAAAAAGTGTGGTGGATGCCGGGAAGGACCCTCAAAGGAAAAATGCAGGTGAGGTTGGACAGCATCGTGGGATTGGTGTCTTGTGAGTGCGCCTTGCCATCATGGGGTAACAGTGTATCCTGCGCCTTTTTTTCTCTCGAGTATTTCAACTTGGAAGTGGGATTTGTAAGATGCCGTTGAGTAGCGTTCAACAGGAATTGCTTTTGCTGGTGATCAGAGGAGGTGCCACCCAGAAAAAAGGCAAGTGCTGGGATCCTCTCAGGATGTTCCAGGGCCCACGTCCTCAAGCGGGCTGCTGTTTGCCTGCCCGGACGGAGCCTCTCATTAGGGTACAGCCTAAAGCCATGTAATTAGAAATTCCACTTCTCAGCGCCTCGGACCTACGCAGGGAGCAGCCCCGTGGACGCTCCGTTTCAGCATTCTTAGAGGCTGAGAGGGCCCGGCTGCCAGTGCCAAGATGCCAAACCTGGTAATTAAGTGGTGGCTCTGCAGGCACACACCTGTTCTGAATGTGCAATTAGTGCCTGCTGCCCTTCTTACCGCGGCTTAGCCCTCTGTGCAGGCCATTCGCAGGGATGGCGTGTGTGCAAGCATGAGTGTGTGCGTGCGTGAGTGTGTGTCTGTATGTGTGCACATGCATGAGTGCGCGTGCGTGCGTGTGTGCGTGTGTGTGTGTGTGTGTGTCCCTCCCCTTTCTCTTCCTTATTCAGAAGAGAAAATGCAAAGAAGGAGCCGTGTGGCGGCCTGGAGGATGCTGCTGGGAGGGCGCGCGGGTGCTCCCGGGACTGCTCTTCGGACACTTAGCGCTCTGGCTCCTGGTTGGCAGCCAGGCCAACTTAACGTCCAGCTGCACGGCTGCTCCTGCGTGATGCTGAGCGCAAACGGTTAATGAGCTGGGAGGGGAGCCGCCTCCCGGCTGGGCTCCCGGCTCTCACTCAGTGGCTTCACAGTGCCAGTGGGGCAGCCTGCTTGTTTCTTGGTTGGAGAGGCTTATTCGGCCTGGCACACCTTCGGGAAACTCCCCGCTTCTAAAGATTGAGCTGTGACTTCCGGCCTCTGACATGGAGAACCAGCTTGCTTTTCCCTTCACACACCTGGATGCTGGGAAGGGAAGAGGGAGAGCTGAGGGGGCAGCCGTGTGTCAGCCGTGTGTCCATATCTGTATGCAGGTGGAAAGCCCACGGCCTCCCCCCCCTCCCCTCCGGCTGGGTGTGTGTCACCAGCGGCTGCCCGCTGGGCGTGCTGTGTGGCAGTGTTCCCTCCTGCAGGAGCCTGGCCCAGTGGAAAAGGGCAGGCTCAGCGAGCAGCAGAGAACAGGAATAGGGACAGGCCTCGGGGAGGTGGGGAGGGCCACTCTGACGATATCCACGTTGTGAGGGTTGGTTGCAAGGGGCTGAGTGGAAATGAAGCCTGAGGGCAGAGGTGCCGAGAACAGAGGTTTAGTTCCCAAGTTCGAAGGTCATCTCTCTCTATGTACATGTTTATATGATATTTACGTAAGTGTATTTCCATGCAAGTATATACAGCCCATATAATCCCCCAAATTAATTAAACCAAACCTTTTTCATTGTCAGAAGGGAGGGAAGGCGAAGGTCTCCTTAGAAAGGAAGCGGGTGAGAGGGCGGGGCTGGTGGGGTGGCTATTGTATTTGAGCATTTTATCTTGGTTCTCACAGGTGTTGAGAAGCAGGATGACATGAGACTCTGAGTTGAACATTCTGAGTCCCTGCTTCCTCATTGCCTGATCTTTGATTTGGGGCAGCTCCGTCTAGCCTCCCTCAGTCTCCCTCTCCCCATCTTTGAAACAGAGCAACATGCCTGGAGAAGGTGGTTCAGTGAGCCAGCAAGACCTGGGTGTTCGGTACTTTCTTGTGGATAAAGTGTTAGGAAGGTCTTCGAGTTGACGCCGTGGCCAAGGAAGAGAGAGGACCTTGGGTTTTTCCCAGAGGCACACCTGTTCTGTTGCATGAGCTTGGCTTGTGTGGCGTGGTGTCTGTGGCTTCACAAGACCACCTTTAGACCCTTCCCCTGCCGGCTCCCTATCTCAGTGCTCTCCAAGCTCTGAGGGTAGCTCAGGCAGAGCCTTGGAGGTGAGCAAAGCTCACGGTCTCAGTGCTGTGCTGCCCTCCCCTGTGATGGAGAGTGCGTGTCCGCTCTGCTCTGACCTCCTGAGCACCTTCTTGGCCAGGCCTCAGGCCTCAGGCCAGGACAGCCTGGTGCCTGGTGGCGGCTAGTGCCGGTGGTGGCCGGTGCCCAGTGGTGGTGGTGCCAGGTGGTGGCGGTGCCAGGTGGTGGCCGGGGCCAGGTGGTTGGCGGTGCCAGGTGGTGGCCGGAGCTTCTGGGCTGTGTGCACCTTTGCTGCATCCAGGGGCCATCCCCTTCTCAGACACCACAGTCCCTAAAAGCTGAGGGGTGCTGCGCTGTGGGATTTCATACTTGTTTTGCAGTTGGCGAGGGTAACAGTCTGTTGTGATATTTAATAAGCTCCATTTCTGTTCTGAATATGAAGAGAACCGTCTCTCACCAAAGAAGGAGGGGCCCAGGGAAGGGTCTTTCCTTGGGCAGATGCCTTTGTGTCACAGAGAGAAATCCGGATGGATTCATGGGACACCCTGAGATCCCTCGGACACAGCCTACAGCATCTCGCACAGCCCTGACCCCTTCCTCAGTATGTCACCTGGTCTCCTGCCGCCTCCCAGCACAGTTTAATCTGTGCAGTTAGCTCGCCCAGGAAAACTGTCCTGCAGGGTCCGAGCTGATGTCCCCAATAAGCTAATGGGGCAGCAGAGGCACCTCTTGGTTCTCTCCTTAGAGGGTGTTTGCTTAGGGGCTTAGTGCTGTGTTCCCAGCCCCAGGGCTGGGCGTGGACTCATTTGGGAAAGTAGCAGCTTAAGATCTTTATTTGGCTTTGTCAGCACAGGGAGAATGCCCCTGAGCAGCTCAGAGAGGCAGCCATTCTTCCTGGCACCTGCCTCCGGTGGTCCCCACCCCACCCAGGCTGACCGGAACTGGCTTTTCCAGCCCAGGGGGCTATCTCTCACCAAGGATCTGGTGCTCCCCTCCCCTCAGCTTCTGTTTTCACATGTGGACACGAAAACCACAGTCTTCATTTGTTTATAACAGCTCTTGGGTGAGCACCCTGAGTCTGCGCTGCCCCCCACCCTGTGGAAAGCTCCTGGAATTCACGTGGCTGATTTCAGAGCCCTTTAGTGTCACCTTTGCTTAGAAGCAGAAGGTGGTCCTTGCTCCTACTCTTCCTCACATCTAACCTGTCACTAGCGGTACTTTCTTCCTTCAAAATGTGTTTGAAATGAGCTGCTCGGTCATTGTCACTCCCCCTCCCGGTCACATCTCCAGAATGGCATTGATTTGTACTCACCTTTTTGAAAAGGTACTTA